AGCAGGCCTCACAGAGACTGTAAAGGCTGGGAGACCATGGACTACGGAAGCGACTGCAGCCAGGATTACAAATTCAGGAAAGTTATCTTTTAAAACTGGAGAAAGAAAGACTGGTAAGTATACACTGTAACAATTCATGACCACTAAACCACTGCAGAAGATACTGAATGGAATTCTTCACACAACAGAAACAGGTAAGTGTCCTAGTTTGTTCTTCATTGCTGTGACAAAGCACTCTGACCACTACCAACTTGGGGAGGAAAGGGTTTATTCAGCTTACATGTCCCAGGTTGCAGTTCATCATCAGGGAGCCCAAGGCAGGAACCTGGAAGCAGGAACTGGAGCACAGGCCATGGAGGAACACTGCTCACTGGCTTGCTCCCCTGGCCCCTGCTCAGCCTGCTTTCTTATGCAACACAGGCCCACCTGCCCAGGGGTGGCACCACCCACAGTGGGCTGGGCCCTCCCACATCACTCATCAAGAAGATGCCCTTCAGACATGGCCACAGGCCGGTCCAATAGAGGCATTTTCCCAATTGAGGCTCCCTCAACCCAGGCGTGTTAAGTTGACACTAAAGCTATCCAGCATAGTAAGTATAGGCAAGCATGCAAGCTCAGGAAAGAATAAATCCCACTGGAATAGGTAAACAAATGAGGAGGAGGAAAGAAGGAAACATTAACTCAGTAAACCACCAAATGGCCAAAGTGAAGGAGAGAGTAGTGGAGACCTCTCAATAACCCTAAATGCAAAGTCTTCTTTTTAAAAGTATTTTAATGTTTTATTAAATTTTATTTTTATGTGTATGCATGTGTTGCCTGCATGTATGTGAGTGCACCCGTGTCGTAAAATGCTGTGGAGGTCAGAAGAGGGCTTTGGGTTCTCCTGGAACTGAAGTTAAGGACATTTCATAGCCACCATGTGAGTGCTGGGAATCAAACCTGGATCCTCTGCAATAGCAGTCAGTACTCTTAACCGCTGAGCCATCTCTCCAGCCCACAGCCCCCAATTTTTTTAATGTTTAAGAATGTTTTGCCTGGGGCTGCACTTACATGCAGGCAATACATGCATACACATAAAATAAAAATATTTAAAAAAAAAAAATAATAAGCCGGGCGTGGTGGCGCACACCTTTAATCCCAGCACTCGGGAGGCAGAGGCAGGCAGATCTCTGTGAGTTCGAGGCCAGCCTGGTCTACATAGTGAGTTCCAGGACAGCTGGGGCTACAGGGAGACCCTGTCTCAAAAAGACCGAAAAAAAAAAAAATAATATTTAGAAAAAAGAAAAGAATGTTTTGCCTGCATGTATCTGTACACCAGGTACAAGCAGTGCCCATGGAGACGAGAAGAGGGAGTCAGATTCCCTGGAACTAGAGTTATGGAGAGTTGTTGGATGTCATGTAGGTGCTGGGAAACAAATTTGGGTCTTCTGGAAGAGCAGCAAGTGCTGTTAACTGATAAGCCATCTCCTAAACCATCTTAACTCTCCAGTTAAAGGTGCAAGCAGACTGAATGCATTAAAGACAAGATACAACTGTTTGCTATCTACAAGAAACCTCAATGGCAAAGACAAGGACTGAAAGTGAAAAATGGAAAACGATAAGGAAATCTGAAAGCAAGCAGATGTAGAAACTATACTCACCTGACAGATTTCAAACTGAAAGTAGCCAAAGGGGGACTAGAGAGATTGCTTCACAGGTAAGAGCATTTGGTACTCTGCCAGAGTGCCCAGGTTTGGTTCCCAGCACCCATATCAGTGGCTCACAGCTGCCTTTACCCTCCAGCTCCAGGGGATCTGATGCCCTTTTCTGGCCTCCCACAGTGTCTCTGTCTCTGTCTCTGTCTCTCTCTCACACACACACACACACACACACACACACTTTAAATCTTTAAACAAAATAAGTCAAAAGTGATAAATAAGGTACTATATATGAAAATAAATTCAACAAAAAATAAATGAGTGGAAAGCTGGCTCAGAGGATAAGAACACATTACTGCTCTTCCAGAGGACCACGGTTTAGTTCCCAAGACCTATGTCAAGCAGCTCAAGCCTGTAACTCCAGCTGGAGTTACACATTAAGTAACTGAAGATCATCATATTAAAGACAATAAACCAGGCTCAGAAAAATAAACATTGCATGTTTTCCCACATTCACGGAATGTACAACAACAAGAGACAGATGTAGGAAGGGGACTATTTAGGAAGAAGAGGACCTGTGGGGGATGGTGGAGATAGATAGAGATGGTAGAGGGCAAAACATGATCAAAGAACAACACATGCATGAAAATATGATGAAATTCATTATTTTGTGTAATTAATAATATGTTGATTCAAGAAAA